GGGGGGGGGGGGGGGGGGGGGGGGGGGGGGGGGGGGCGGCAGAAGAGGCGCGAAGCCCCCGCAGGACCTCTACCCAAAGGGCTCCAAAGTTGGCAAGCTTTCCGAGAACAAGTTTCCCAAAGCGGGCTCCGCGCACGTCTGGTTGGTGAGTTTTATTTTGGTGCGTTGTAGGCACAAGGTTTTCGCCGCAGAACCCGGTCTCCTCACGCTCTAGTCGTTCATGCGTTGATCCCGTCGGTTTGGTCTGACTCTCGATTCCTTCCTTGTTAATTTGCAGGTCCACTTCTACTCTCCCCAGAGCCGCGAGTGCAGCCAGCTTGCCCCCACGATGGAAAAACTAGCAGAGGTGCTTCAAGGCGTGGCGAAGGTCGGAGCGATGGACTGCACAGGGAAGGCGGAGCGCTTCTGCGTCCAGCAAGGGGTTCGAGAGTTCCCCGGCTTGATGCTCGTCGTTGCCGGCGAGAACACGGATTACGAAGGAGTCGCCGGTAAGTTCCATGTGGTTTCCATCTTTTATGGCCCTGGTTGCGTTGGTCAAGCATTGTGTAGTCGGGGGGTCGTGTTGGTTCTTGCTCTTGTGTGGAGTTCACCTTTCGAGGGAGACGCGGCCCTGGACCCATCACCGTGATGTAACAGACAACTTGACTTGGTTGGTTGCGGGCTTTTGGGGTTACTCGCTCAAGACAGCAGTCGAGTCGTTTTTTTCGACAGTTAAGAGGACGAGGGCGTTCTGTCAGTGAAAGCAAGCGACAATGCTGCTGTCGCAGACTTTGTACGTGTGTGTGATTTTTCGGTTTTCTCGCTCATGCTTGAGCTTGCTTCACTCCCCTTCCCCTATCCCCCCGTCGTGGCACCCCTCCCGGCCTTGCCCCCTGTTCGCAGACCTGAAGTCATTGCACGAATTTGTTCTTGAGGGCTTGCCATCAGAGCACGTGGCGAATCTTCGTCGTAGAGACCAGGCCGACTCCTTCCTGCAGTCAGAGTGCCAGGAGGGTTCAGAGTGGGGCTCGTGCGGCATTCTTTTCACGAACAAGTTCGAGACTTCGTCGGCTCTCAAGGCCCTCGCGTTCCGTTACCGTGGAAGGGTGAGTTGAGACTGCTTAACTCATGACGGAATTGGTCGTATTTACCGTTGTATATGGCAACCCCACAAGCGACACAGACGGAATGGAATGCCCTTATGTTCCATTTACCTCGCAATGCGTGTGACGACTCATCCGGTACCTACGGAGAAGCTGGCCTGTAGCTGAGGTTGGACATGAGAGCAGTCTGACGGCGTGCTATTATCCTCTTATCAAGACCTTTGTCTTGATCGCGGTTGTACATACATTGCAGGAATTGAACCAGCTTCCTTGTTTTGAGATTTCCTTCTCCTGCGCAGGAATGCCCTGAAATTTTTGTCTCTTGCAGTGCACCGCTTACTTGCACTGGTAACAACAGGTTAGTCGTCTTACATAGGCCTACCTCCCACCGCCACCCGCCAGGTCGCGTTCGGAGAAGTTCGCGGAAAGAATGACGCACTAGCGAATAGCTTCCACATCTCTTCGTACCCAAGCCTCGTCTTCTTCTGCGGCGGGAACGCCGGCGTTTCTTTTTCGTACGAGGTGAGGGGGGG